TTCCCCAATAAAAAATCTTTAAAAAAAAAAAAAGAAGTGATCCATGTAAAGAACTTAGCTCAGTTATCTGGGCGATAACAAACTTTTGCTATAAGTCACCTATTATTAGTTATTATTTGGGGACTACATTTGTCCTCGGGGAAATGAGGCCTTCCTTGCTGCGGCCTCAGTCTAACTGGGAAGCAACCAGAACGAGCAAGCCCAGGGATCAGCGAGGGGGAGGCAGACAGTCTGGGTCAGAGGAGGCCTGAGTTAGACAGCTTGGACCATAATTAGCATGATTTATTAGCATGGGGCTTCGGGAACATTTTTTGCCTGGGGCAGCACTGAAGAGACTCAGTAAGTGAACTGGATAGCACGGGCGCCATCAATCGTGGCTTTGTCACTGAAAGGAAGGTCTTTATGAGGGGAAACATAAAGTGATAAATTGCTTCCAGGTTTCCTCCCAGAGCAGGTGTAGCCCTTTTTGGCTTTCCTTTCAAGCCTGTGGAATGATTTAGACCAGGAGGTGGAAAAAAAAAATCCAGAGCAGTAAGAAACTGGATGGAGAAAAGACGAGAAGGGATGGCTGGGTATCAGCAAAGAGCTGTGGCCTGAGGTGTGTGGAGTTAGGAAAGGGTGGAGAGTGCCAACCCCTGAGAGGCCCTGGGCCCACTGCTGCCCAGAAGGCTCAGATGTATGCAGGATAGACTAGCAGTGGCAAACAGTGAGGCCTCTCCCTGGGGGTGTCCTGGAATGCGACCACTGCCACAGGGCTCACCTCAGACTTTCCAGGGATGTTGTGTTTATTTATCTGCATTTGATTTAAACATTCTGACTCTTTCCTATTTATGTGCTCTCCAACTTTTATACCCAGCACATGAACCTTGCTTAGAAAAGCCCACACACGACACACATACCTCTCTCTTTGGTCTTCTGGATATCACTACCCAAGATCAGTGGGCTTTCCATATCTTTTGAAAGTTCTTTCTTTAAATAAAACCTCCCATTGTGTAATAACAGCTAACATATTTGTTGAGCACATAGTATGTGCCAGTTACTGTGCTACCCTCTGAGTTTTCTCATGCTATCCTCAGCATAATGCTATGAAGTCCCAGATCACATCACCCAGTTTACTAAGTAAATGAAGAATGTAAGGCACAGAAGGCTGAAGTCCCTTTTCAAGGTCACACACGAATAAGTGGTAGAGCTAGGAGCAGGTCACATAGGTACCTTCTAGCTCCTGTAGCCAAGCCTTGATAACCACTAAGCTGTGCTGTCTTCAGATTTAAAGTATAGGAGCCTTGCTTGAGGGTGGGGATGAAGAGGGAGGGACGTGGAGCCTGTCCTTCTCAATTGTCACCCAGGTCCCTAGGGGGGGCTGCTCAGGAACCCTTAGAGCTGCTCCAACCTAGAAACCACTGCTGTGAAGTATAAATGAGATTCCAAAGCAAAGTGGGCACTGCATGTGGGCGTGGCCACCTTGGCAATCAGGGAGGCATGTGGGTGTGGGGATGTTGGGATGGAGTTCCAGAAAGTAGGAGTGAGGCCAGGATACTCTATGACTTGTCAGATGCTTGGCTGCTGGGACTTGACTGGAGAAATAATGTTTTAAAGCTATCATATGCTTGTGAAATATATGCAGCACCTCCTTTGGTAAATGTTTCCAGTATTTGTAATTCCTTACTTTAAGAGCTGAAGAGGAGGCCAAAGTGAATTAATGAAATTCTAGAGTATTTGGCGATGTCACTGCCCACTCTCCAACCTGCAGTGCAGCCACACAGAAGTCCTGCTTCAATGAGCAGGTCCAAGCCTTGGCGCTTAGCACGGATTCAGCTGCCCTCTGCTAAAGCCATTGGAAAACGCTGTGAAAACTACTGGCTTTCCTAATTAGGTTGCATATCCCTCCCGGCCCTCTCACAGACATCATCTGTCCAGGGGGCACATCGTTTCTTTTCCCCTTTCTCTCCCTTTGATCTCAAATGTCTAAACTATCAAAAATTCTGCACTGGAAAGGTTGAGATGGAGACCTTTATTAATGTTGCTCAATATGAAAAGTGAAGCGAGGAGCGAGAAAGCGACTTTTCCATTAACTGGGAGTCCTCAGCTATTTCTGGCTGCGGTAAGCACCTACCAAGTGCCAGGCATTTTGTTACACACTTGATATATGCAATCTGCCGGTCCTTCTGACTCTAGGAAACAGGTACTGTTCCAGCTGGGGAAAGACTATCTCAGAGATGGTAGATAAAACCTGCCCAAGGTCACGGGGCTGGTAAGAGGCAGAGCCAGCCCTTGAACCAACTCTAACAGGAAGCTGCCATGGGGACAACCCTGAATTCAAGATGGAATTTCCCATGAGATAAGAGAGATGTCTCAGAGCCTGCTGACCACAGAGCACACAGAACCTGGTTGTCCCCTGACATATCCCTTGCAGAGGGGGCTTTTGCAGACACTAAAACTGATGTGTCATCTCTCTGGGTGAGAAAAAGACAGAAGGTAGCCACAGGCCTTCTTCCCACAGGTGGGGCTCTGAGGACAGCCAGGGCCTACGAGGCTCACCGAGTGCCCAGGTGCTCACTGGAGACTACCCGACTTTGACCTTTAGGAGGTCAGAGACGCTAGCTCCTTCTGGAGTCCAGAAGGTGACCTGGCAAGTCAAAATTTTGGCTCCTCTCTCAGGGAATGTTAGGAGGTTGGATCACTTCCGGAGGCTGTTTTATTTCTATTGGCCTCATACCTTGGTGGGGATTTCTATTCTCTCAATGGGTGACGGGGGAAGAGGGCCACATCTGTGATGTTGCCTGATGCAGGAATCAGAGAGGCTTCTGGAAGGGATCCTAGCAATGACCTGGTTCAACCTCTCATTATACTGTTGGAAATGCAGAGCCCTCAGACAGGAGAAGGCTGTGTCTGCGAATCTAAGATTGTCGGATTTAAGCCACGTTGGCAATCGCGTTGGCGATCACTTCAGTTAACTCTTCATTTTCTAAATTGTGGTAAAATACACATGATAGAAAATTGACCAATTTAACCCTTTTCTTAAGTGCATAGTTCAGTGGCATTAAGCACATTCGCATTGTTGTGTAACCATCACGCTATCCATCTCCAGAACGTTTCATCATCCCAAACTGAAACAAGCCCTTCACTTTAAAACACTTTTGTGTGCTTGCTGCGTGCCTGACTGTGTCCCAAACACTTCACACATATTAACTCATTCCACCTTCACAACAACTCTGCAAGGTAGGCATTATTACTATCTCCATTTTACAGATGAGAAAACTGAGGCATGAGAGGCTAAGATGGCAGTTACTAAATGTCAAAGCCAGACTCAGCACTTAGGATGCCTGGCTCCAAAGTCCAAGCCCTTGACAACTGCAGAAGCTGCCTGGGACATCGCACGGGGTGGGTGGCTGAGTCCATCCCCTCCTACCACCGTTCCAATTGCCACCCTGCAGAATGAGCAGGAAGAGGGGCGTGCTCTCAGGATGGCAGGCCGTGGGTGGAGAGAAGGGCCAGGAGCTGGGCCCACCATCGTGGGACACAGCAGGGAGGAGATGGGAACATGAAAGCCTTCATTTTCTTCCTTTGAATTTAGCTTCTTAACCAAATATTGAGAAGAGATCAAGTATATTTCTCATTGTCTTTCTGGGCATGAGGTGCTTCTTAGGCCTAAAGGAGAACTGTAATATGTCTCTGAATGAATCAGGTGGAAATGCAGTTATCTGGACCTTTCAGACAAGGGTGTCAGATGTCGTGTACGTGTGCATGGGCGGAGGGGCGAGGGGTTGGGGGTGGGTGCACTACTGAATTATGTAGGCAAGTGACTCAAATCTGTCAGTGCAGCCCTGACTTCTGGCCCGGAGGCAGGGCTTCCTTGTGGTGATGGACGTTTCTCAGCATCCTGGGAGGCTGGGCCTTTCCTGGACTTTTCCCTCAGGGAATGCTGCCTCCTGCTCCCTGAATCAGCCTCCTGACCCTGAGTGTGGACTCACCAGGCTGGGGCGCACAGGGTAAATGCTCTGTGGGTACTGACAGCTTGATTAACAGTTGCATCCCCACTGCTAGCAGTCAGCCGGGTTTTCTGTGATGTGTAGTCACCCAAGCACCTGGGGACAGAGGCCCTCAGTGGGCTTCTGGGGCAGAGCTCAGCTGGCCTCCCTTTAGCATGGTATTTGCACACGGCCCTCTTCTTTCTTCTCAAGTGGGGAAAACTGGACTCAGAGAAGAAGAAGGGTAAGGAGGGTGGCCTGGGGGGACAGCGAGGATACTCATTTTTACTGAGCACTTGCTTGTGCCAGGCTATATATTTTACATACTTGGGTTCCTTAATCCTCACGGTGACTCTCATCATTCCTGCTTTAGGGATAAGGAGATAGAATCTCAGAGAATAATGATAATATTAATATCAATAATCACAGCATGACATCATTTATATAAGATGACCATGTAAGACAGTTAAGAGCACAGGCGCTCAGGTCAACTTGCACACAATTTAACTAACTGTGAAACTAACTTGAGCCAGTCCCTTAGCCTCTCTGTGCCTCAGTTTCTTCATCTATAAAATGGGAATAATAATTGTTTCTCATAGGGCTTCTATAAAGAGGAGATGGTTGCCTGGCATGGGGTATGGTGCGTAGCTAGTATTCAGTCAACGTTAGTGAAAAACATGATGATCAAGAAATAACAGTGTACTAGGCTGTAGGCTAAGGGATTCTTTCTACTACATTGTTTAACTATAATAACTCCAAGAGATTGATATCATCTCCATTCTCCCTGTTAGCAAAATAAGGCTCAGAGAGGTGAGCAGAGCTGGGAAGAGGTCGAGGTGAGGGCTCCAGTGCTTTCCTCTCGTCAGAAGCTGCCCTTCTGTCCGCCCAGGCCTCCCCTGGACCTCTGCCCTGGGTCCTGGGGAGAGCTGGCATTTACACTCCCCCAGCATGGGCTTATCCCCTGCCCGAGGCCAACACCACCTCCTGCCCCAGCCCGTCCCAGCTCAGATGAGCTTCTCCAGACATACGCACCTGTCTGATGCTCAAAGGCCGGATAATACTCTTCATTGCTGAACAGGTCGGTCCACGACATCAGGGGGTCGCAAAAGGACGTGTTGGGCAGGAAGGTGCTGTGTGTCACTGAGTCCAACATCACTCTGCAACAGTGGGAGAGGCTGTGAGGAGGTGGGTGGCTCTGGGAAACCGCACTGCAAGAGCCCTCAGCAGGTCACACTTGCTTTTAATAATGAGAACGAATACTTACAAACAGGCAGCCTCCTAGGTGCCAGGCACCCCTCTAGGTGCTTTCCATGATGACCTTAAGTAATCCTTGCCACATCCTGTGAGGTTTGTTCATCCATCCCCATTTCATAGATGAGAAAACTGAGGCAATTGCCCCTATAACATGGCCAATATATGGCAAAGCAGGGATTTGACGACTGGGGCTCTTACTATGCAACACTGCCTCTTTCTTTACTTTTCCTATTCATTTGCATCTGACCCCTGAACTCTGGCTTATAATGTCTAACAATATGCTTCTGGAAACAGGGCAAGAGTTGCTATCAATGAGTATACCCACAAACCCTTATCTAAAATTCTGAAATTAGAGCGCACTGAAATGGAAAGAGTGTGTGTGTGTGTGTGTGTGTGTGGTGTGTGTGTGTGTGTGTGGTGTGTGTGTGTGTGTGGTGTGTGTGTGTGGTGTGTGTGTATTTGATGCACTTATTTCCCAGCAAAAACCAGTCCTGAATTGATGTTATATAGCTTTATATACTGCTATATATGTTACATCTATGCTGCTATTGGGTTGTCGGAAAAGTCATGATGCATTTTTGCAATGAAAAGCAGAAAAAATACATCATGACTTTCCCGACAGCCCAACATATATATGTGTATAAACTATATATTATACATATGTAAGCACATACAAACTATATGTTATATAGTTTTATAACTACAAGTACAATTTTATTTACTCTACTTGAATATTTATGTGATACATTGCAGAAACATTAATGTGTTTAAGGAGTCATAGAAGGAATACCTGGAGAAGGGTATTCTGTGTTCTGCAGTAGACACACTGTAGGAACTTCCTAATGCCTGAAGAATTCTGAATTCTGCAGCACATCCAGCCCCAGGGTTTTGGATAAGAGCGTGAGGACCTGTCATAATTGTAACACACACTTATTCACTTTGGACTCCATGCCGAGCACTTGAGAACTTTACATTCCTTATTCATAGGCTCCTCAGAACAGCCACTCTGAGAGGTTCTGGTCGTGGTTCCATTTTATAGATGAGGGATGGACGCTCTGACAATCTAGGTAACATGCCCCAAACCACCCAGCTGGCAGGTGGTGGAGTTTGGATGACAGCTCAGGTTTGTCCATTTCAGAAGTCATGACCCTCATGGCTGTGCTCTGCTCCCTGCCGACATGGCAAGTGGAGTGCTTTGCGAGAAGGTGTCTGGTTGAGGCTGGGATGGGGGCAGAAGAGATGGGCCTGGGACCCCCACTGCACGCATTCTTCCCCATGCAAGTCTCATCTTTCAAGTTTCTCTTTGCTGCCGCCCATATTTCCACAATTTAGAACAACAACAACAACAACAACAAAATCCATGTCTGGTGGATTAGAAAAGTTGTTTGCCCAACTTCTTTTTTTATTACTGCAGTAATGTTGATGAGATAGGGTGGTTCTACCCCCCATTTTGCAAAGGGGACACAGCAGCTCAAGATCACACCGCTGGTAATTGTCTGAGCAAAGACTGGACTCTGGGTCTTGGGATATTAAACACGTGGAATTTTAAGGTGGTCAGGGGCTTATTAATCACCTCGCCCAGTGTTTCCCAACATTAGTCATTTGCCTACCACCATGATCATCTACTTAATGTATGTTAAAAAACCAACTCCCTTTTTGTTTTAACGTAAATACATTTATTTAAAAGGAAAACTTTACATCACCACTATCAATGCAAAGTCAGTATTTTTTAGAATACATAAAAATTAAGATGTAAGTATTTAAATAAAAATTGTTCATCCATGCACCTCCTAGATCAGGGGTTAGCAAACTATAACCTACATTCCCAGTGTGCAGCTCACCACCTGTTTCTGAATGGCCTATGGTTAAAAATGATTTTACATTTGTAAATGGTTACACATTAAATGATATGTGCTTTTTAGCCTGCAAATCCTAAAATATTTGCTTTCTGGCTCTTTAAGTAAAAGTTTGCCTACCCCGACCAGCTTCATGTCGTGTATCATGAGTGGTGTAAGTACCACATGTTGGAAAGTACTGTGTGTGTTAGTCCCATCTTCCCCCTCAACCTGTCATTTTAGAATCGAGAAAGTTAAGGCTCAGGGAATTTGTGTCACTTGCTCAAGGTCACATAGCCAATGGGTGGCAGCGTTGTATTGTATGAAGAGAGGTCTTACATTTTCCAAATCTCGGCCTACCTGCTTCCTTTTCTAAAAACACTCACAGTCATATCTGCCCAGAGACACATCCCAGGAACACTTACATATCGAATAGGACCTCAGTATTGAGGGGACAGGATTGTGTGGTTCCAGAACCAAAGACCCAATTGCTTGGGGATATTTGCAAACCTACCATGATTATGACCATCAAATGTGCTTGAGAGCTGTGCTTCTGACACAGATAAAACACCGAGCTCAAATTCTCACCCTTAGGCACCCTTTCTGTGCCATCAATGAAGAGCCACCAGACTCCACTGGGAAGCCTTCCTGATGCCCAGCGAGGGTTAATGCACCAGGCAGATTATCATGTTCACGGATCTCTCCCTGACAACCATATCAAACAGAGGTCAAGGCTGCCTGGGTTTAGACTCTGATTTTCCCACGGATTGGCTGGTGTTATACCCTGAGCGGGAGGCAGGATGAAGAGGGATGGGGGTGGGGGGCTATGAGAGAGGTCAGAGCCCCTGGAGCCCCAAAACCCTTCTGCTTTCTGGACTCAACCTCAAGAAAGTTCTACATGAGGGCTCAAGGTAAAAAGACCCCCTGACCCTCTGGGACAGAGGCTCAGAAACCGAGGACAAGGATGGCAGACTTCTGACATGACCATCACAGTTGATTTGGAGAAAGGAGAGGTGGAAGAAAATAGAAAACCATCCCCAGGTCTTTAATGTCAGTTAGAAATCCTCCAGATACAAAACACAACAGCGGGAGTGAGTGCTCCCTCATCTCCACCTGAAAAATAGCTCTCAAAAGTCATTCGGTAAGTTGATGTTGGCTATATAAAAATTAGGAATATTTTTGATCAATAGGATATTTACCTCCTTCAAGGATATTTTTTTTTCTTACACCAGCCCACTCACTTGCTCTGTAATCTCTCTAGTGCCTGACACAGCGCAATTATCTGATTCCCTTCAGTAATTCCTCCTATGGTCAATTATACTTGTATCCATTAAGTTTTCTTAAGCTTTTCTTAAACGGCTATTTTTCCTCTGTAAGATTTTTTTGCTTTTGGGGAAAATGTCTTTTATCAAAGCAGCAGACGGGTTGTTCTGTTTTTTGTTTTTTGGTTTTTTCTTTTTTCTGCTATTGCATAGGAGGGGTTATTATTAACTCTGGGCTCTCCGCAGAAGAACTTGGCTACTTAGTCAGCACGCTCTAGGTGTGAGAGTTCTGGAATAATGGCTGCTTTGTCCTCAGTAGCCAGCTTCTTAGGCCCTCTAGGGTCTTTGCTATAATTGAACATTTTAGCTTTTAAGATTTCTTTCATGTAAGTGGAACAAGGTGGGTGAGAAAGAACAACTGTTTGGGGCCCCACTTCTCACTGAGGACATTGAGACCCAGTGACAGTCAGGCCCAGGCCTGAAGGTAGACCACGGATTCCCAACGGGGGTGACATTGACCCCAGAGGGGAAAAACTGGCTCTTGGGTGTCAAAAAAATCTTAGATGTTATTATGTTTCACGACCCTCCAAAGGGCTACAGTACATTAACGATATACAGTATTTCTATGGTATTAACATTTCATGGAGAGGGGAGACAATGGAGAAACAATTATCTTAAAAGGCTCCTTGGTGGGGGCGATAACGAAAAAACGGTTGAGCAGCACTGAGTTAGACCTGGAGTCAGCAGCAGGACAAGAAAAGGATATCTAGGGAGGGTCTTGGGCCTGCTGTTCTAGCCACACATTTTTGGTTTTTTTTCAGGGGCTGGCTGGTTTGTCATCATGGAAAGAGCACTGGGCAGGGAGTCATATTTCTGCCTCTTGAACCTCTCCAAGCCTCAATTCTTCATCTACTAAATGAACACACTGACCCAGTGGACTCCAAGCTGTGCCCTAGCTCTGTGGTTTTCTTCAGGCACCCACCCGATTGGGCCAACACACCCAGACACGTGCGCTTATCCACACAGGCATAGATGTTGGTTATATTTGGCTATTATGGTCAAGCAAGCTCATCAAACCACTACAAACAGAGGTTAAACGTTTAGCTCTGAAAAGGGCCCCCAGTTTCCTCTTCTCCCTTTCCTCCTATGCCCACTGCTTTCAGTGGTAGTTTCCGGGTATTTTGGCCTGGGCTAGCCAGGCCCCTTAAGCACTCTGGACCCTCACTTGCTGCCCATCAACAGACCCACGGCTGTTGGGATCAGTTTCCCCACATGTGGTCACCATTCTAGCTGCCTAGTAAGTAGACAAGGATTGAGCACAACCCACACAAGAGGGAGGAATCAGGTGGGTCCCCTTCCATGCACGAGAAAGGCTAGCCACAGGTACCTTTCGGAATGAGACAGCGATGGCATGGAGGCTGAGGTCCCCGATGACTCCAGGGGCTTCCTAACCCCTCTGAGAGCCGGCTCACTCACCAAATGTGTACAGGGAGGGTCCACACAGTCAGAGGGACAGGCCTGTGGGCTTCTCGCCCTACACGAATCAGAGGCGGCAATCAGAGGTGTGGTGCCCATGGCCTGAGCAACCAGGCACTTCTGCTCAGCCTTCCAGAGAGAGAGGGGAAGGAGCAAACCACCCAGCCTTGGCCTGTTTGCTAGAGGAGGAAAATTCCTTTCTGACCCTGCCAGAGATCATCAACTTCACTCTGGGCATGTGACCAAAAATCCACCCAATGAAGCATCTACACATTGGCTGTTTATGCACCAAAACGTCACCAGGCAGAACCAGACCATAAGGGTATAAACCATGGGAAAGGAAGCCAAGAAGGGCCTTCCCTGAACCCACCAGCTGGGAAGGAAGGTGTTTTTCTTTCTTCAAAGCCACAGTGACATCAGAATGTCCACTTGGTCCTGAGCCCGACGGGCAAGGCAGGGTCAACTTCCCACCCTTTGGACCTCCCTAAGAAGGGACACATGGAGGAAAACCCAATGGACTATTTCGACACTTGCTGTTAAAGGATTGTGGGTTGGGTGCTTGAGTGTTTGTTCTTCTGGGAGAAACCAGAGCAGCTGTGAGAACCGACTTGCTGACGTCTTGCCAAGTGATTCCTCATTTTTCTTTAGCTTGCTTAGGGAGCTTGTTAGTTTATTTGTTTTTAGTTGTTTTTCTGAAAGGTGCAGCAAAGACCCACAGAAGGTGTTCCATAGAGTTTGCTGTGCGCTCCACTGGAAAACTCATTGTTTTTGGATTAAATCCATGGATGGTTCAATCCTACCTCTGCCACCCACAAGGCAAGAAACATGGGACACAGGTCTTACTGCTCAGCCTGTCAAAATTATTTTTGTTTCATGCAAGGTGTGGTATACAAAAATTCATGACCCTCACTGAGCTCATCTTTAAAGTGGGGATTTTACTATGCAATCCTCAGAATGTCCTGAGGGCTTAATAAAATTAGATAATGTATGCAGAGTACTAAGCACAATACATAGATTCATTTCCAGAGGGGGGACAAACTCATTTGTCATCAGTTTATCTAAAAAGTTGCTACTTAGATGACTCCTGAGAAAAGAAGACAACCAAATTGTGAAAACTTCTGAGAACACCTTGAATCACACACACACAAAAAAAAAACACACTCTCACAGATAACAGGAGGACGCAAGAATTAAGCTTTCCCTCAGAGGGGCAAACAACCCCTCTCCGTGGATCTTTAGACTAAAACATGAAATTGTCTTTCTAAATCACTTTACCTTTCTAGCCCTCAGTTTCCTTACCTGGAAGATGAAGAGGTTGTACCTAATGGTCTCCGACATTCTTTCCAGCTTCTAAAATTCTCAGCACAACCAAAGGTGGGTGGCTCCCCGCAGTGGGAGCATGTGCTACCAGTGACTGCCAGCAGGGGGAGATGCACAAGAATCCCACACACGCACAGTTTTTGAAAAGGTTTGAGAATATAGTGGAAAAACCTTAACCACTGCTTTTCTGGACGGATTCTATGCTAAGGTGGTGTGAGAGGGCAAAATAGGTTTCTTTTAAGTATTACATACAGACAAATTCCTGAAAAATGCCCCAAACTGTAATAAAGCAGCTTATTTTCTCTGTATTAAAGTGGGGACCATGAGCAGACCAATGGGGAAAAGAGGAGTTTGGCTAGGGGGAGGTGGGCTTTTCTTGAAGCTGAATATTTTTTTCTGCATAAAACCCAGCTTTCCTTTCTAAAGATAGCCTTAGCAGGCGTAGAGAATTGAGTGCCTGTACACATTCTCTCTTAGTTCCGCCCGGTTTAGTAAAGTGATCCAGGGGCTACCGAGGAGGGAGTGGGTGACTACACAGACTGAGGAGGCAAACATGTCTCTCTCAGGCAAACAGTTAAACCCCAGTCACACAGCTCCCAAGAGGCACTGTGACTGATGGAACTGGCAGGAGGGCTGACAATCTGGAGATGGGGACCAACAATTAGACCCAGGCCCCAGCCCAAGCCTCTGAGCCCTGACACCCCGTACAATTCATCCAAAAGAGCAAAGAAAAGGGGCTTACGTGAGGACAGCAGTGGCTAGGTCCAAAGAGGAGGCTTTCGAGGCAAGACAAGGCAGGCGCTCCCAGCACCAGCGTACAGTGGAAATAAAGGCACCTGTAGCCTTGTGATATAAGTAACACCTACAGACAGGTCCGTTTGGTTTTTCAGGTTTACGCACAGCCCCTTTGATGACGGTGACATACAGTGTGACACGGCTCCTTGGAGGAGGGGGGGGATGGTTCTCACGTGCAGAAAATTTACCTTTATCCTGCTTTTGTGCCCAGCTCACCACCCTCCCTCCTGACCCAGGGGACTCAGTAAACAAGCCAAGAATTCTTACCTCTGGGAGCTTTGCTGGATCCTGCATTGGCTGGGGATTCTCGTTTGTGCAAGTTGGAGGGGAAGCTCCAAAATGCAGCACTGGTGCCTATTTCTGCAGCCTCCTTTCTAGCCTGGAGGGGTCCTGCACTCTTGTACAGCTTGTCCTTCTCCCTTTTTGCCTGGTGGCAAGGAGGAAGGGCAGGAGGGAGCAGCGGTTAAGGACACAGGCTTTGCAGCTGGATGGCTTTGGATTCAAATTCTAGGTCCATCATTTTCTAGCTGTGTCATCTCCAGTAACTTAACGAGCCTGTCTGAGCTTCATCGCTCTGATGCAAATAATAGTACCTGCCCAGTGGGGCTTGTGAGGGTCACGTGAGGTAATAATGCAAGGGAAGCACCGAGTAAGGCTTTGTTAGCTGTTATGATCATAGTGTTTTGCTTGATGGAGCACGGTAACCAGAAGCCCCCTTCTCTATCATTTCCTGCAACCTTATGCCTTCGGACCAGGCGAGGGGAACAGCCAGTTTCTAGAACCACTGTTGGACCTTTCTTCTACATTTTCACTCAAAGCGTGAAAAGGGCATTGGACACATTAACTTATTCGACTTCTATCATCTTTGGATGTAATGAGCCATGGGGTCACTTTCTCTCCTCTTCTCCCCGCCCCCTCCCCACCTTACAGACAGAGAAACACAGAGGTTTAGGGGCGCAGTTAGGTATCCGCAGCTATGAGGCGGGACCTGACTTGCATGCCAGCTCTCAGGTTGTCTAGCTGAGAACTACTGCTTTTCAGGGCTTCCCTGTGAGAGCGGAAGTTCGACCTGATTTAGGCTGTGACATACAGTGACCCCAGTCATCGATAGGACAGCATGTATAACTCTATGCCTTTTTGCACTGGGCTTCCAGTTCTCTTGGGCAGTTAAGACATTGTGTTCAAAGTGCAGACTCCAAGCTTTAGTGAAAGCAGCGACTGGTTTGTTGGGTTTTCTTGGGAACACTGGGCACAGGGACAAATACACAAATACAAACACACGTATGGTCCAGAGAAACAAAAGGCAATTCATTAGAGAGCTCAGGTGTCATCATGGAAAAATTGTTGAAGAAAGACTGCCTAGGCCACTGACTTGCTGTGTAACCTCAGACAAGTTGAATAACTTCTCTGGGCTTGATTTTCCCCAGCTGGTAAAAGGAGGTTAGATTAGAATAGTGATTTTCAAACTGTGCTCCAAGGAACCCCGGGGCGGGGGCGGGGGGGTTTCCCCAGATCCCTCATAAAGGCTACTGGGGATGAGAGGATAGGAATGGAGTGAGTCCAGCTTTAGGCTTCTCTTCCCTCCTTCAATTATAGCATCTTAACTTTTCTACAAACCGTCAAGGTAAGATTTCACTTGAACAAAAGAATCTGCACTTAAAATGCGTTCTCAAAGAACTGGATTAGATGGTCTTTGAGATTCCTTTTGGCTCAAAATTCTGTGATCTGTCTCTTACTGCTCGGTGTCTGGGAGACACGAAGGTCCAACGCACTCCATTCCCCGCTGTGGGCACTTTCCCATCTTGTCACTGGTTTCTGAAATGCTTCTCATGTTTGTATCTGCACCTAGACGTTCTTCTCAGGGGAGAGGTTTTCAAGGAAAACATATTTTTCTGCTATTGCTTTTAGAACAGAGTCTTTTGGAGAAATTATATAGATTTTTATACTGTCTTGGCTCAACTATTTCAGAGTGAAAAGTTTTCTGGCAGTGGATGTGTATGACAACAGACCCTGTTTGTCTCATGGCTCTGACTGTATAATACGGCATCTTTGAGTGCCTGTGTGGGAAATTACAGGCTTTGGGACCAGTGGATAAAAGGGGTGATTAAGATAAAACCAAAATAAAAGAGGAATTTGACTCTAATTAAGTCTATCACACTGAACCTAAATTTGATTGGAGTGGAGATCTGGGATGATATCAGACATGAAGCTTGTAAAAACTGTATTACGAATGTCGGTCAAAGACAAGAGATGGGGGCTGAGGGTGAGGAAGAGGCGGGTAGGAGAAAGAATGGAGCATTTTAGAATTTCCAGCCTATCCTCCTGGTGTCTCAACCACACAGTAATAACAGGGAACACTCGGCTTATAAGAGCCACTGGTGACTAAGACCAGGTTCTGGAGGGAGACTTCTTAGATTGGACTCCTTGCTTTGCCACTTGCTGCCTGGGTGAGCCTGGGAAGTTTATGTAACACCTTTACATTCCAGTTCCCTCACCTATAAAATGGAGAAAAAGAACACATCTCTTCTAGGGTTGTTGGGTGAATTAAATGAGTTAAAAGCTGGGGGGTTGTTAGGGTCCTAAGCGTGTGCTCTATTATCTATGTGCTGGCCTGTTACATTTGTTAAAGTAATTAAACAAGGAGGCCATTAGACCCTGCTGGCTCTGATGCCTTGACATCCTATGTAAGCAAACTGAAGCCTAGGCCAGAGTCTATTGTACATGAACTTGTATCCAAAAAAACAAAATTTAAAAACAACCGATCATAGTCACTTAGGCTTTCTCAAGTTAGGTAATGTCTTAAGCCATAGCCAATCAACCAGTGTTCTTGCTTTGCTTCCATGTCTGCTCTATAAAAGTCTTTCCTGTAGTTCTTGTCGGTGGAGTGCTCCCAACCACTTCCAGTTTGGTGATGTCCAATTGGAATCAATGTCTGCTCAAATAAACAGTTGAAATTTTCATGTGCCTCAGCTTATATTTTGATACATTCATTACATTAAATTCTCACAACTCTTTGAGGAGGGAGTTCCTTTTTTTTAAAGAAATTTTTTATTGGGGAACAGTGTGTTTTTCCAGGACCCATTGGCTCCAAGTCAAGCAGTTGTTTCAATGTAGTTGTGGAGAGCGCAGCTCCTTGGCCCTTGTGAGAATTGAACAGGCAATCTTGGTGTTATGAGCCTGTGCTCTAATCACCTGAGCTAACCGGCCACCTCAGGAGTTACTTATTATCTCCATTTTATAGATGAGAGAACTGAGACACAGAGAGGTTAAATGACCTTCCCAGGGTCACACAGCTAATAAGTGGTAGAGCAAGAAATTTAGTCCAGGTTGCCTGCCTCCAGAGCCCACCTCTTAACCATCATGTTACCCAGTCTCTGAGTGCTCCTGGGGGTGGTTGTGTGATGACAGGGAGGAGGAAATCACACATATATAGACCATGTATCATGTGCCAAATATTGTGCTAAAATCACTCACCTGTCCTACCTTGGTTATTTTTCACAATAACCCTGGGAAATAGCTATCCCTACCTTCCTTTTAGGATGAAGAAACAGAGATGCCAAGCTTGCTGGGTGTCACCCAGTTGGGCAGTAGCCAAGCCTGGGCGGAACTCAGGCCTGCCCAGTGTTCAAACACACCATTGACACAGGAGCTCAAGTTAGCCCCTCTCCTTTGGCTTTGGCCTTAACATTAGCCTCGGAGAGGTCTCATGGTCGTCACAGGCATAGTCTGTCTCTCAGTGTGGAGTGGAGATTCTGGTACTTC